AGAGACAGTAAAATGAGTAAAAGAAGAAAAGAGCATCTCTGGCAATCATCCTTCCCGCCGTCATGATTCTCACAGGCCCGTTATGTAATTTCCACGTTTTCCTTAAAAACTCGTGCAAACGAAAAGCCGTACATTCTGGTTGGTTGTTGGGATCCCACCTTGTGGAGTGCAGGGGGGGGGATCTACCTCCCTTTGCAACGACCTCCAATTCCCGTTGACGTTGAGTGCCAGGTAGTGTTTCACTGCCCTTGCAAAAAAATCTTCTGACAAGCGTAAAACCTGACGTTGAGTGGCAGGTAGTGTTGCACTGCCCTTGCAAAAAAATCTTCTGACAAGCGTAAGCCGCCTCTGTAACGTCACTACAGAAATCATTGCGATGATACACTAATTAAACCACCAGTACTCGGCCCAGCTATCGATCGGCCTCAGAAAAAAATAGAGTACAAACGTTTCTAGTCGGATGAATTTGGACGCTCTTGTAGTCGGATGAATTTGGACGCTCCTGTAGTAGCCCGTACGTTTCCTAAAGTCGTGGCGCGTTAACGGGCACGACTCTAGGAAATACTGGTGGTTTAATACCCACCCCAAACCACCCACAAGCGTCAGAGAAATCTGCTTATTTGTAAATCGAAGCCTCTCTCGGAGTTGCTCAATTCCCGTTAACGTTCAGTGCCAGGTAGTGTTGCACTGCCCTTGCAATATAATCTTCTGAGAAGCGTAAACCTCCTCTGTAACGTCAGTACAGAAATCGTTGCGATGATGATTAAGACCCTAAACCCCAAACCACCCACAAGCGTCAGAGAAATCTGCTTATGGTAAATGGAACCCTCTGTCGGAGTTGCTAAATTCCCGTTGACGTTCAGTGCCAGGTAGTGTTGCACTGCCCTTGCAAAAAAAAATCTTCTGACAAGCGTAAACCTCCTCTGTAACGTCAGTACAGAAATCGTTGCCATGATGAGTAATACCCAGCCCCTCACAAGCGTCAGAGAAAAATCTGGCGACGGTAAATCAAAGCATCTCTTGGAATTGCTTAACCCCCAGTTATAGTGTGCAATCTTCCGCTGAGGTGCCTCTTACCTCTTACCGGGTTGTGGATATGCTCACCTAGGATTGGATTTCCCTAAAAAAGGTAAATTACCCAATTGACACAGGAGGCAAACCTCTTACCAGGTGGTTGTATGCTCACCTACGATCGAATTGAAAAAGGTAGATTGCCCCCAATTGGGACAGGAGGCAAAATGACCAACGGGGTGGGTGCTGGGGCATGATTGGTCTGACAAACCGTTCCTGTGTTTTTCACAGCGCCTGCAAAGCAGGCGCTTTGGAAGTTTGGATGCTGGGGAAGCCTTCAATAAGAAAAAAATCAGATTCACGGCGGCTTGGCTTTTGCAGCAGAGGGGGTGGGTACAGCCAGCCATACTGTAGTTGGAGCAAATCAGTACAGTACAATTACCAACGGGCCTACAGTAGCTCAATTGGTATACACACCTGAGTTCAGATTCAGATGGAAGCAGATGACCAGAATAAGATCATTTTTCCCAATTACCTGTGGCCGTTCAGGTCCATGTCCATGATGATGATATCTCAAGGCCCTCACCCTTAAAAAATAAGAAAATAAAAAATTTAAAAATTAAAAAATTAAAAATAAAAAAATAAAAAAATAAAAAAATAAAAATTCAGGACAGTTCTCTGAGTGCAGAGTGACAGAGAGTTCCAGTGCAGAGGGTGTCCAGAAAACCGTATGTGGGCTGGGCTGCAGGAAAGCCCCCCCCCTTCCCCAATCAAAAGAAAAAGGGAACCCCTAGAAGAGAGAACCCACCCTTAAAAGAGAGAGCCTCTTTTGGAAAACTGACACACAGGCACGCTTCTTCTTTTTATAATTTTTATTTTTTTAATTAAACACCTCCTGATACTGCTAGGAATGGTGATACGAGCCCCCACTCGTAGCAGCTCAGCGTGTAACTCCTGTCTATTGGTGGGGAGTGTGACCTGCCGGAAACCGGGTGCAGCGTCCCATGAGATAACAGAAAAACCGAACTGAAGTTTTTGATAAGTACTGCCTCTTCAGGCTCATACATTCCACCAGATACTCAGCAAGAACCTAGCTGCAACACCAAGTACCAAAAACAAAAAAGAGCACCCCCTGGCACCGAGGTATGACATACTCTGTGGGCTGGGTGGTATTATGTGGGCTGGGTTATACTATATCGGTTGGGTGGCATCTCTACGACTGTGTGCTCTGGCTGTGGGGTACTATGTAGGGTTGTGTGGTACCTCTACGACTCTGTGGACTGGATGATAGTATTTCACCGGCCAGAGAACTTCTCCCTTCCCCTCCCCCCCCCCCCCCCCCCCCCCCCCCTCCCCCCGGTACGTTAGGTGTCGGAAGCCCTTTTCTCTGCACAGTGCATACATGTTTTTTTTTCTTTTTTTCTTTTTTTCTTTTTCGTTTTCTATGAAAAACGGGGATAGCCCCTAACAGTATTGTTTTCATCTGATTCATCACAATTCGAGCTCACCACCTGTTTACTAAGAGTTGTTACATTTGTACTGTTCATCCACATGGGCCACCACGTGTACTTTTAATTCCTGTCTTTTTCTTCTTTGTGCAGATATCATCATAGACGAAAAAAGAAAAACCATAATAGAACCGACCTCCCCCTTGTACTTCAGAATTAGAGCCTAGTTGCACTACTCACCAAGATTCTACATGCATCTGGACATGCTGGTTGTCCAAATGCATTCAAAATCTTGGCGGATGGAGAGTAGTGCAACTAGGCCCTTAGAGGCTTGGCACACAGGCTGTCGAAAACCAGGTTTTCGACAATTTTGCATCACCCGCCACACAGACTTTCGAGGAATTGCGGCTCAAAAAACTTTCGACAGGTGTCAGGATGGTACTCTCGACAGCCGCCCTCCAGCAATCGTTTCCTCCACTGCAGCCTGCAGGTGACGGAAACTCGACAGTGGCCCGCCAACCTTTCGAAAATTGCGTTCGAATTTGCGTTGTCAAGGACTGTTCCGTGACACCCGTCCACCTGGCCATGACCAAAAACAACCTTGCACCTCGACAGCCTGTGTGGCGAAGGGGGGGTAAACTGTCGACCACCGACTTTTGAATTTTTTCTGACACCTGTCGGAACTGTTTGAGTTTCGACAGCCTGTGTGGCGAGCCTCTTAGGCTTGTGCTCCCCCGGCTTACTTTGGGGAATCTCCCCATCTTAAAGTGAGTATGGTGCAAAGTTTGTAATTGTCCCTGGGGCTCCACTGCCCGTGGATTCTCCGATTCTTATGAAATAATTGCACACCCAACACGGTCATCTCAGGGGCCGAACTGGTTCTGATGGCCGAGTTTGACCACTGCTTCACAGAACCCCTAGAAGAAAAACTTGGCTGCACCCGCTGTGGGGCCCCAAACTTTTTGAAGAGTTCCCCTCAGTTAAAGCCCGTGGAGCACAAACCTTATTTTACTTGCCTGTTTGGTCAGAATTCGAGGTCAGATTTGCTTTCCCAACGTTGAGGGGTGTACCATTCTGCCACATCAGCTGGGTGTGTGCTTGTAATTGAACAGCTCTGGTTGTTATTAGAATATAGGTCGGAGAACGTCGGGGTTGAGAAAACGACAGAGGTTAAAAAAAAAAATGTGGCCCTCGTGCAAATGACGAAGAAAAAAACACAAACCATCCCTATCCCCAAGTGCTTTCCCGGGTCTTGTGGGACACCATCATGCAAGACCGGCTTCTCAGTTAAAGAAGTTACACATAGATAGACATAGATGGATAGATAGATAGATAGATAGATAGATAGATAGATAGATAGATAGATAGATAGATGGATGGATGGATGGATGGATGGATAGATGGGTAGATGGATGGATGGAGGAGGGATGGGCGAATGGATGGACAGATGGATGGATGGACGATGGACGGATGGATGGATGGATAGGGATGGATGGATGCATCGATCGACAGCTGGATCGATCGATAGATGGATGGATAGATAGATGGGTCAATGGATTGATGAATTGATGGATAGATAGATAGATAGATAGATGGAAGAAGCACATCTTAGAAGGGCATGCTTTGTTTTTCTGGTTTAAATCAAGTTAGACCGATGTCAGAACGAGAGGACATGAATTTCTCAATTTTGTTGAAGACCCGGATTGGTAGTCATCAGAAAGAGAGGGCATGGATTGTTCAATTTTGATGGAGGACTAAGGTCCTCCAGCAAGAACGGAGAGATGCGCGTCTACTGGGGCATGTATACGTTCTCTTTTGACCTGCTGTTTGTCAGCTTCCCTTTTTGCCTTCCCACTCTTCCCTTAATAGTTCGGAACCAATCTCCCTAACACTCTCACCTCGTAGGCTGAAGGTGAGAATCATCATGCGTCCGTCCATCAACTGAAGGCCAAGTATCTCATGGAGTTTTATGTGATTCAACTTTTCATGTAATTGTTTCAACAATTTCTTATTATGTACAGAGATCATCCAGCTTTTAAATTTGAATACCTTGAATTTTATGCCCTTCCCAGGGACCTTCTCAACAGGGCGGAAACAGCCCAACCCAGCTACCATGTCATTGAGACAAAAAGTGCGCAAAGTTGTTGAACCCACTATATATAACAAGGACAAGACAATACAAGACTGACTTAGCCTCACCCTTCCACATGGGCTGGGTATGAAGAAATTGTAATTCTCATGCTTTTTGCCTCCTACAGCAAGGACACGCATCAACCGAAGCACCTCACTGGGGCGAGAACTCAGACAGCTATGCGTCAATTTTTGCTTAAGCAGCATACAAATCCAAGCACTTCGCATACTAATGATACTATGTCTGACGTGAGCGGTAGCCAGAAAAAACGAAAACCCGCTGGATTTCGGGTATGAGCAAAATGTTGCAAGTGAAAACTGGAAGCCAGATGGCATGAGAATTAGCCACAAACTTCTTGTTGTCGCTATAGAAGTTCTAGACAGTACACGGCTTCCATCACGCATGACGCGTATACCTCGCTGTCCCCCCCCCCCCTTGCTCTTTGCCGAGAAAGCTAAACAATACAGAGCAGGACTGTTGGGGGAGCCGGACTGATGAACTCCCCAGTAGACACGCATCTCTTTACGTTCTCTTTTGACCTGCTGATGGAAGAGTAGGATGGAGACTCAAAAAATAGTCAGAGAGATGCGTCTATTTACAAACTTAGAAACCTGCATGTAAAGATGATAAAACAATTATCAGCATTAGAGGAGGAGGGAGAGGAGGAGGAGAAGGAAGAAGAAGGAGAAGCAGCAGCAGAACTGGAAGCAGAAGGAGAAGCAGCAGCTGAAGCAGAAGCAGAAGGAGAAGAAGAAAAACTTGCACCCCTCCTCAAAGAAGCAGTAGATGAGGAGTCTTCCACTCCGCTCCCGTTGTTCTTCGACTCCTCTTCACTCTGTTGATTCTGATGGTGTTCCTCTTAAGTGTTTTTCTTGTGTAAAGGTTTTGCTTGAGACAAGTTCAGGGAAAGGGAGAGGGTTGGTGATCTGTGGATATGATGGCTTCCTTCGGTGCTTTCTCTATGATATCGTTCCATCTCACGATTGCTGTGGTATTTCCTATCTCACTGTTTCTCACTTGCTGATGGTGCGGTCTGAGTTTGGTGGCTTTCTTTATGACTGGTGTCCCTTTTCTTGTTGCAGCTGCTAATCGAATAGTTGCAGGAACCATAGCACGGACTTTGTCACAGGTGAGTACTTGGCAATCCTTGTGGATCTTCTTCTTCTTTTTCTTCTTCTTCTTCTTCTTCTTCTTCTTCTTCTTCTTCTTCTTCTTTCTTCTTCGTCTTCTTCTTCTTCTTCTTCTTCCTCCTCCTCCTCCTTTTCCTCTTCCTCTCTTGTTCCTGTTTTTGCTTGTTGTTGTTGTTGTTGTTGTTTGTTGTTTTCTTCTTCTTCTTCTTCTTCTTCTTCTTGCCGCCCACTCTCCTCCAGTTTTTGCTACTCCTCCCGTTTGTTTTTTAGTTCTTACTCCTGTGTGGTTGGATGCTGGCTTCCACATGCGGAAAGGGATTTGGTTATGAGGATTTGTAGCAGCTTTTGACAGGGGTCTTCAAGATTTTGCCGAATAGGGAGTGTAGGCTACATGGTGGATGGGTTGGGTTAACGTGTAGCTATGGCAGTTGGAGGAGTTTCCTTCTGAGGGCTTTAGTTTTATTGGGGTTGGGTGGGAGATGAAGATGGAAGGTGGATTCTGTGAACAAACAACAGGCTGATAGGGCCTATGATGGAAAGTTGTCTATATCCGCAGCTGAGATGATGCATCCGGCCGAGTGGAAACGGTACAAGATGTGCAGGAAGTATTAGGGTGATGCAGGATAAACATACACCGTAGAGGATGCGAAAGGGATTGTTACGAGGCTGGAGTGGACGTAAGGAGGAGGATGATTGGGATTCTCCTTTTCCATAGTTGAAAGTTTTGTTCCGTGTTGCGAACTTTTGGACTTGATGCATGCAAAAGCGTTTTGACTGCTGTCTCTACACCTTTTCCTAAGACGTTTGGGAGCCAGTTTCATGTGAGCTGGTCCCTGCCTTCTCAAGAAGTTGGGCAGCTCTTTCTGTTGCCCCCCTTCCCTGCCCACTTCCTTTTTTCAAGGGAACTCGCCAGTCCTGGTATTTCGTTTGAAATACCCTTGCTGTTAGTCGTCTACGTGCTTTGAGAACGCCTGAAATCGTTGGGTTTATCATAGCCGAGCTCATCTGTCTGTCTGGACACCTGTTCACTTTTCTTGCTGATTAGGTGAGGAAATATTTCTTTTTCTTTTCCGGATGAGCAGGTAGATGAGGGGAGACATTAGTTTTGTAGGGAATTTCTGTTCAGTTTCGCTAACTTCCGTATGAATTTTGTGTTCATCCATCGATTCACCGTTGTTAAACTGTGCTTTTGAACAACGGTGAATGGATTCTCTCTCTAGTGCCTAATCCCACCGTGGTGTTCGCTCTTGGTCACCTTGGCATGTGGCTTCTGATGTGAATTCATTGGTCTCGCCATGTGTATAGGAGGTGCTATGGAGTCTGGACGAACATACAATGGGAAAAGTCGAATTGTACGCGTTCAACGAGCAGGTCACGCCACTTTAGTCGTTGATATGTGGAAAGTGATTCACCGCCTGGCCTTCCAGAAGCTGCTTATCATGTTCTTATATTTCATATTCCCTTTGAGAGCATCTAGTCCCTGCTGCTTGATAATAACGTCTCTTTTCTATCTCGTCCTTCTGTTTGACGCCTTTCATTCACTTGAGGTATTAGTCTGTGAAATTGGGATAGCCCGCTGCAGAATGTCATCGTTTTCATGCGTCTATTCTCCTTTTTGTGTCGGGTGTTTGCTGCCAGATGTTTGGTCACCCTGTGGATACCATCAAGACACGATTGCAAGTTAAGGACCCGCCGAAGCAGTTAAGAAAATGGAAGACGAATGCGGCACAAAAATCCATCGGTATTGGCCCGGTCGGGGTCAATAACTTTCTGGTGAGAGGCCCTGGCGACCTTTTCAAGGGTGGATGGGCAAATTTTCTGGGGACAATCCCAAATGCAGCGCTTTACTTCNCTTTTCAATGTTTCACTCTCTAACTTGTGCAAGAAAAATAAGCAACAGCGAGATGACAACCCCAGATCACACCATCACATTGCAAGTCAAATAGTTGTCTCTTATACACATCTAGATGTGTATAAGAGACAGCCCCCACCCACCACCACCACACACACACACACACACACACCACCGCCACCAGCCCCTCCCCGCTCCTTTACGCCTTTCAGATTTATTTATCCATTTGGTTCTTCAACTCACACACCCTCCTATTTCCTTTGCTCACTTCTGTGCTTGTCCGCCCTAGAAGGGCTTCAAATGAATCTAAAATCCCCTTTCTTCCTAGGCTTCACTTTTCCCGCTCTGCAATAGTAGGAGCTCCAAACAAACCCAAAAATTGGGGGAAAACTCGAGCAAAGTCCTTCTGAATATCTGTTAAAATTGGAACGATACAGAGAAAGAAGATTGGTATGGCCCCTGAGCAAGGATGACAAAAAAAAAAAAAAAAAAACTGGAGCAAATGGATCTACTTGAAAAAAAGAAAAACGGATCTACTACTTGTCTGGCCTGTCTTTCGATAACCCTATATCAGAAAATAAGAAAAGTAACCCCTGATCTTTCACTCCAACTCTTCAGGGCATAGTTGAGCCTATAGATTAGGGTCGGTATTAAAGGTTGTAACCGCAGTTAAAAGTTGGGGGTTACTTTCAAAGTCAAGTTGACCCTAGTGCGAGGCACAAGGCCTCAATAAGCCCTACCGGGCCCCTATTTGCAACAGTAAGTGAAGGCAGCAGGCTCGAAAGACGACAAGAGGCCTATTTTGGACTACTTCGCAACTGGGGTAAAATTCAGGCAGTTGCGCAGCGCCAGTTGGTTGAAGGCGCCCAGGCCCTGGCCTCCTTTATCAAATGTATCTAAGCCAGGCCCTGGGTGAGATACGCAGCATGGACCCAACTTAGGCTGCGGGCAGTTGGGCACAGGTAACTGTCAGTGGCCCTGGGCCTGATTCGTTTGGACAGAGGCTCAGCCTCCCTGGGCCTACCGGAAGCTTCTGGGCCGGGGGCCGGTACCGCAGCACAGCACGCAGCAGCAGGCCACTTTGATATAGGGAAGGGCCTGCCCACACATTGGACATTCAGGCACTGGCTGCATGCTGCGCAAGCGCTGCTGCGCTAACGCTGGCCAGCGCTCACGCGCTCACGGGCGAGCTGGAAGGAGCAGGCAGCCATAGCCGAGCTGCGCTGCTGTATGCTGGATGGGGCTCATGGTGGTCCTTGGGTGCATGTGGCATCTGTGAGTTGGGGAACGAGGTTGTTTGTGATACGAGTGGCATACCTGGTGCTTGAAGCGTACGGCATTGGAGAGACGGTTAACGGAGGCCGCAATTTTCAGACCACTTGTCAGGCCATTTAGGGTAGTCTGGGCGCCGAGCGCCAGATAGGATATCGACATTGGTTCTTCGTTGATGATGATGAGACTGTTCCAGCATTGTCAATTATGATCTATTGCTGTGTTCTTATTTGGTGWAACTCGTGATGCAATTCTGCGTGATGCAATTCTGCTATTGGTTCGAGGTCACGACTATCTGGTCTCATGTGTATGATGCTGTTTGATTGCTGAGGTTCGCTATTGCTCATCTTCCTTGCACTAGATTAGGTTTGGCATTAAGGTTGCGGTCACAGATCTGAGATTTTATTTTGCGGCAAGTGGAAGACCCATCTTTCTCCCGATGGTTGATCGAAAACTTCAAACTCCATGTATAAGTTGATGCAAATGCTGTGGAACCATTGGGTTCTTCTTGGTTGAGGGAAGCTCCAACGTAAGTCCGTCGGAAGGTGTTTTCTACATTGAAGGAATCTCCCCAGGATAATTATTTTTTTGTGAAGGTTGTTATCTGAGTTTGCCATTGTGAAGGTTGCTATCGACTTTCTGAATGCACATGAAATTTAATGAATGGATAAAGGCAAAGGATTCCAGTCATGGTAGGAATAGACATATGTTCCATCAGTAGTTACTACGTGTGCACTCAACGCTGGCCAGATGGTTGTCTTTTTTTTTTTCTTTTTTTTTTTGAACTGTCCCCTGCAGTGCTAGTGGTGCAGGTAAGAGCAGGCACCGCTAGCACCTGGGGAGAGACTCCCATCTATTGGTGGGGAGCATCACCTGCTGGAAAACGGGTCCAGCGTCCCAAATACAGAATGAATATGGAGAATTGTCCACTCGAAATTGTCCGCTGATGTCCGAATGCCTCATAGCAGAGAGTTGTGCATTGATGTCTGCATGTCTCCTGGGACAACTGCACACTCGTTTGGTAACTAGATATGGCGAGTTTGTAATGAAATGCTCCAATGGTACCGATTGGGTCTGTTCGTGGCAAGATGGTTGGTCCATTGATGACCAGATGGTCCGGAGGGGGGGAGCAGGAGATCTGTGATATTCAGGTGAAGCGAAGCTGGAACCAGATATGCGTCTCCACTGATGACCAGGGAAAGGCAGTTCTTTTCAAGTTGCTTGGGAACTTGGAGAACTTGACATGTTCCGTCGGGGTTTGCTTGCCGGTGATAAGTAACCGGACTGTTCCCCCCCAGAATAGAAGGGGCGTTTCATTTCGCGCGTTCCAGATTTCGAGGTGTCAGGCCCGCGGCCCAGGTGCCCATGTAGTGGTGCTTTAACTTAGGTTCAGAGGCAAATTTGCATAGCCTATCAGTAGTGCTGCATTTCAGTCAGACAGAGCTTTCGTTTAGCAAGTGCAGTTGTGCATGCCAAGCTTCTCATCTGATGTGAAGGAGGGGTTCCGGATCTGATAGCAAAATACAAGAAGGTGTTTTGTACGCCAAGCATCTCTTTCAATGTGAAGTGGTATGGCCTGGGTGTTGATGAATGATTCTCTTGGATTAAATGGACCCTCAAACTCAACATAACTGTGTACCCAGTCGGTCAGTGCTGTTTGTTTATTGGTCCAATGTTCTCCTGTATGGTGTATCTGCTAGCGATTGCTGTCGAAGCTGATGCACAACGTGCAGAACCTTCGAAGAAATCTTGAACTATATTCGGCTTCATTGAGGTCTGCTGATTTTTGCCCTGTAGCTTCTCTTGCTCCTTGTTCCAACGACATGCAGTTAGAAAGCAGAAATTTCAGAAATGGCTGCTGCCCAGTGCTGTTCTTATTGCATCTGCAGCCGGTGGGACATCTCTTGTTCTGAAATTTATACTGAACCGTGCATGTAGATACAAAGCAGAAACTTGAGAAATGGCTACCGCCCAGCGTTGTTCATATTGCATCTGCAACGATTGGTACATTTGCGTCTTCTCTCGTACGGGTAAGCGCTCACTCAGAATGCTCTGGTGCATCGTTTCACCTTAGGTTACTGTTTCTTTGCATGTTGACTAGTTGTTCCTGTCTGGCTGTCTGTTTTGCCTGTGTTTTGCTATGTTGAGGTTGTTCCATACTGAAGGATGTTGTCGTGGTTACTCACTTTCATAGGTCTATCCTGTCTGGCTATTTGTTGTGCGGCTTGTGGCTGTGTTTTGCTATGTTGAGGTTGTTCCGTACTGAAGGATGTTGTCGTGGTTGCTCACTTTCATATGTCTATCCTGTCTGGCTGTTTGTTGTGCCTGTGTTTTGCTATATTGAGGTTGTTCCATACTGAAGGATGTTGTAGTGGTTGCTCACTTTCATATGTCTATCCTGTCTGGCTACTTGTTGTGCGGCTTGTGCCTGTGTTTTGCTATGTTGAGGTTGTTCCATACTGAAGGATGTTGTCGTGGTTGCTCACTTTCATATGTCTATCCTGTCCGGCTGTTTGTTGCTATATTGAGGTTGTTCCATACTGAAGGATGTTGTAGGGGTTGCTCGCTTTCATATGTCTATGTCGTTTGGGATAATATAAAAAGTACAAGAAAATTCAGTTAGACCAACTAACTCGGCATGTGATTTTCAGGACTTCACTCCGCTACTCACCAAATGTGCAAAACTAGAATGAATCTTCTCCTACAAACCGGAACCGTACAAGCCACATGTTTTTCTTTTGTGATGAGTAAAGCGAGGCCCTTAGGGCCACTGCACGTAAGAAAAGGAAAAACAAAAACCCGAGACAGTTACTATAGTGTTTGTACTACTTTCGTAACCCATAACTCTTGGAACACTGGCGTGAATCCGAATCCAGGATATATTGCTGGCCTGCTCGTGGTCTGCCAGTAGTTCAATGAACACCTTCCAAAAGCATGGGAACCCTGCTGATTCTTTGCAGGGGACCTTTTGGAAAAGAGGATAGATCCAATGAGTAGTACGAAGCGGCCCCAAAATGTTTTTTTTTCTGTGCACTTACAATTTTCAAAAGGGAGGGACACTTTTGCTTACCACGGCCTACCCTTTTTGGATTTTTTTAACATTATTTTGTAACACACTGTGCACTGCGATCAACGCACCGCGCACTGCACTGGCAGCGCACTTCGTCCATGCGCCGCAAGAATGGTCTATGTCCTTTGGGATAATATAAAATGTACAAGAAAACTCAGTTGGACCATGCTTTGCAACAGCTGGGAAATACTGCAACCCTCAGAACTAGCTTCAAAGAAGGAGAGAAAAAGTGAGAGGAACAGGGGAGGCGATAGGCAGAGAGGAAATGAAGAGGGAGGAGTAAGAAGGGAAGGCGAAGAAGCAAGCGGAAGCGAAAGTTCAGTGGAGCTGAAGAGCAGAGTGGGCCAGGAAGATGAGGAGGAAGGCAAAGGCAAGCTCCCGGAAGAGGAACCGGTTGTTGGTGAAGGAGAGAAGTAAGAGTGAGCTATCTTTTTTCCAGTACAAATTAGTCGAGTACGAGATCCAATGTATCGTCTTTCTTGCGTGGACTTACTAAAGTCAGGCCTTCAGCTTCACCCTCTTCATGTCCCGAGGTTGCGTGGAAGTCCATGGGGGAAATTGGTCACTTGAACCAGTGAAATCCCACCAAATAGGTACGAGAACTCGAAGCAAGCAGAGTTAGTGAGCCGTGTAATGGGCAACTAACTATTTCGCACATAGGTTCGGAGGGCACTTCAGCAAGTCTGTGCAAATCAGATTGAAGTTTTGACACCAATCCCTTTGGATGAGGCCAGAAGTCGTTTTGGTATTCAATTTTACGTTGTCTATTTTCAATAATTTTGTTTCTTATTTTGGGGGCGACCGTTTGAGTCACCGTGTGAACTACTCGTTTGTACGATCAACATGTCAAGTCAACGAGATGTTGTAGAAGTCCACAAACGAGAAGAAGAGGTGGTTGCAGTTGGCAGTTTCTTTCTTTCTTTCTTTCTTTTACGAGGCTGTTGTTTACCTACATGAGAGATCCATGGTAGGGTCCAGAGCTTGCTGCGGAGAAGGGGGCGGCATTTGGCATCGGGTACTTTCGTCAGACCCCATCAGCAAGGCTAGGTAAATACAAGGCAGGCTTTCGGGTCTGTGTGTGTCTTCAATAGAGGACAGACTGGTCCAAGGCCTGACTCACTACTACCGTCTTCCCCCCGAATAGAGTCCATGGTCATTAGTATCTAGAGCAGATGTTGCCCCAAATATGGCTGTAATGACGGTACGCTCTATTCCGGAAAAGCGTTGTAGTGGGGCCTACACCAGTCGCTGCTTAAGACTAATGAGGGTTCAAATGGACTGTTATATATTGTTGGCACTTTAGAGGCTGGTTGAGTAGGGAAAGTGTGTATGTTAGCGTATGAGGGGTTGCGGCTTGACTCAGTGGGTTCTGATTGCAGGCAGCATCTGCACTGTACTGCTTTCCTTGTGCTATTCATGTGTGTGCCATTGCGATTGTGATCAATGTCTACACATATGTCTTTGCCTTGTCTTTGACCATATCTGTGTTCTGATATCAGCATCCTTTTTACATCAGGTTGTTGTTGAGTGAGTCTGGGAGGTATGATGCTTTGGAAGATGGTTTTGGCTGTGTTTGGTGACTCGGATACAAGTGAAATAAGGAGTGCAGGTCTAATTGTCTTGAATACGTGTCAGAGTTCATTCTTATTATATTTTGTCTCTTCCTTTCAATAGGGGACAACCCCTTGCAGCCTTATTGTATCCACGAGTGCACGAACACGTGAGTTGTCTGTCAACAACTGTACCATTCAGCGATCAGGTCCAGGTGCACATTCTTACGATCATATAATCTTAATCTGGTTCTTTTTCTTTTTTGTTGCCAACTTGCTCCAACTCACTCATGCCTGAGAAAAAATGATTGTTGGTTTTTAATGTGCAGGTGCCTGCGGACACTGTGAAGCATCGGGTCCAGGCATATCTCCATCCTAATTGTGAGCTCTTTTCTCCAGTCTCCTTTGCCTTAAACCACCGGTACACCCGGGCCTGCAGGCCCCTTGCGGCATGCCAAGGTTTTCCAAACCGCCAGCGGCGCACTTTTTTTTCTTTTGTGGCTGGCGCCGCCGGCCATCGTGGTCCGGTCCTTTTTTTTTTTATGATTTGGCCTGGATCCGGACCTTCCAGACTGGGCGTCTGGGTGCAGGTCTGGATCCGGACCGTCTGGATGCTGGTCCGGACGTCCGGATTGTAGCCTTGGTTCTTCTAGGTATAAAGCCTGGCCCCCGGGCATTCTATCCAAATGGGCGTTATATTAAAAAAAAGAGTGAAAAACATAAATTCTGAGTTTTTTTGAGTGAATTGAATGTAATGCCCGAAAATATTGTCTGGTGAAGATGGTAGTCTTTGATAGCTCTTCAGTTTCGTGAGACTTTGGAAGCGAACTGAAAGGTTAAAATCAACTGAGATTGCGACACCAGGATCGCAAGTGAGTGCTGGACTTTGAAAAACTGTTGAGAGTTTACGAGAGAATTTTGTGCTCGGTGTCTGACCTTTTCCCTTTCTTGCCCGAGAGTCCATGCGAACACTCGACCGTCTTCCCCCGAACAGAATAGACAGTCGTCATAGCTGTCTTGGGATAACGTTCAGTCTGGATACAGTGATAACGACCGCATGTTCTATTCGGGTGACGATGCGAGTGATCCACTTCTGAGGCAAAATTGTGTCCTTCCTCCAATGTAAGATTGGACAGAACCCGAGTTGTGTTTGAATGGTACATGTGGAGCTGTTCATGAATTCATCATGGGTTCAAATCTTGACACAGATAAAAAAGTAGGGGTTACACTACACTTTTCTTAACAAAAGTTACGGGAGTGAACCAGCGATTTGAAGAATTATCTATGATTTACCAGTTGGTCTCCTCTTCTCTAAAGTCCCTCCGAACCAGTGCTTTATATAGTTTGAATTCCCGAATCGTTATGAGTGAAGGGCCTGAAGGCATTTCTGGAAGATTTGTTGGCCAGAGGAAGCGAGTGTTCATGAATGTATGTCGCTGATCTACTTGTCTGCTCTATTGTTGTTGTCTTTTGTAGCTTTTGATGCACTGCACACACTCGTGACGAGCAAAGGTGTTCGTGAACTGTATGTTGGCTTTGGGTCAACATTAATGCGTGATGTGCCAGAAATTGCAATCCAGGTTGGTTCGCTGTGTGCACAGTCGTTCCTTCGTGCTGGATCCTGTGTTTCGCAGATAATGTTTACTGAACTTCACTCCCTTTCAAGTTTCAATCCATCCAGGAGGATAGTTTCTTCTTCGCTGCTTTGCTGAATTCTAACAGTGTGTCTGCCTGCATTTGTCATACTGCTACTTGACTCATCACTGATATAGGGGAATGTTAGATGCAGCCATAATGCCTCAGCTGTTTTCCACCTGGATGGATGTGATTATGACAGTGTACGCTGTATCAGCATGGGGTCTTGGCTGCTAAGTCGGATGATGAGGAGGCGGCGATGAAGTGGATGGGAAGATCTAATGGCATGGTAAAGAGGTGGGTAAAGTTAAATGGTGGCAGGTGAGAAAAGAAGAAGACCTGAAGATGAAGTTCGTGTGCATTGAAGAAGCAGAACGAGGAGGGGCAGGAGGAGCGACATCAACAGTGGCGACAGCAGCAGCAGAGGATGATGATGATGATGATGATGATGATGATGCAAATGATGCCGATGATGCCGATGGTTCTGACGATTCTGATTATACTTGTGATTCTGATGATGATGGGGATGAAGAGGAGGAGGAGGAGGACATATCGAAATCAGGAAAAAAAACGAGGACCAATGAGTGTTGTACCTTGGTGGGGGCAAGGCTGCTGTTGATGGCACATCCATGTCTGTTAACATTGGCTGGCAATGGCTCTTGGGCTGGCTGTAGACAAGACGACAAGCGATGATGATGGACATTGAAGGAAAATTGATTCGAGAACACAGTTGTTCAGACTGGAGGGCCGGTGGCCATGGACTGTCTTGACCTCCTTGGCCAACACTTCTACCTTGCACTTGGTTGGCCACTGTCCTCAACTGCTGTCTTGAACGGCCGTTGGATCTTGCCCAAGTTCCATGTGTTGTCATGAGCTATGTGTGCATGGGTCATCACAAGCTATGCTTCCATGTACTGTCTCACAAGCTACCATAGACTCTTCTCAGTTTTTACCCATTCGCTTGCTCTCCTAGGTTTGAGAAACATTTGCTCTGTGTTCCCCAGTGGCCTCTCTCTGTCCATCTGAAGCAGATTGGGGTGGTTTTCTTGGACATGCCATGAAGGAATGACTTGATTGCTGATGGTGCAATCATATTTTTGTGCAGAAATCACAGCATGACCACATAGCAGACTCAGCTCCTTCAATTCGGCCATTGGAAGGTCACATCAGCTGCATACTATTCTTCCAATTTGCATGCATTCAGGCCGCGGCCCTCCAGTCAAATGTTGTCAAATTGTGCCCCAAATTGTGCCCCAAATTGTGCCCCAGATTGTGCCCCAAATTGTTGCTCTAGCCTCTTTTTTCCTTTTCTTTCTTTTTGAAGACTACTCTCTCTCTAGTATTTTGCAAGAGAGGCTCTCTAACAGGGTCTCTAATTGCACACTCTGTGCAGATAGGGTTTCCATCTGGTGAGGGTGCCGTTCTTCCCTTTCTTTCTTTTTGAAGACTACTCTCTCTCTAGTATTTTGCAAGAGAGGCTCTCTAACAGGGTCTCTAATTGCACACTCTGTGCAGATAGGGTTTCCATCTGGTGAGGGTGCTGTTCTCGCCTTTCTTTCTTTTCAAAGACTACTCTCTCTCTAGTATTTTGCAAGAAAGGCTCTTTAACAGGGTCTCTAATTGCACACTCTGTTCAGATAGGGTTTCCGTCTGGTGACCACAAATTCTTCGTCAGTCGAGGGTGCTGTTCTCGCCTTTTCTTTCTTTTYRAAGACTACTCTCTCTCTAGTATTTTGCAAGAAAGRCTCTATAACAGGGTCTCTAATTGCACACTCTGTGCAGATAGGTTTTCCATCTGGTGAGCACAATTTCTTCTTCAATGGAGGGTGCTGTTCTCTCTTTCCAAGTCAAAAGAAATGTTTCGCCTAGGTCCAGTGGGCCACCCACTGGCAGGTTTGACACCTATGCTGCAAACGTACTGGTGGTTCAATTTCCATGCAAATTCTTGAAAATTCAGTGTCTCAGTATCTTATCGTAATTCAACCAGGCGATGCAGAGGGATTGAACAGGCTAGACGATGATTTGCTTGGGGCATTCAGCGGTCAATTCCCAGTTGCTGGATTTGCTTTCTAGCAATGGTGCGATTGGTCCCTGAAGCCGAAGCCGAAGCCGAAGCCGAAGCCGAAGCTGAAGCCGGGGAACTGTACTTTGCATGATACAAAACTTAAAACTGCTGAAGCAGGTGTCATTCCATTTCATGATCAAAAGCTTGAAAAAAAAAGAGGCAATCGATGCGGATAGGACCACGTAACATGCTGGAGACTGGCCTGGATTCTCCAAGCCTTAAACCACCATTACTTTTCGCAGCCATTTTTCTCCAACGCGGCCGTGCACATGCCGGGGGGTTTGGGGGCAGAGCTCTCTCATGCATTGCATGTTAAAAGTTGGTCAAGGGACACCACATGCCAGCGTGCGCAGCAGAGGCAAGGTTCATTTGTTCATATTTGTTTTTTCTTCCGATGTTTCTTGACCCCTCCTATCTTTTGCATTATCTATAACCAGTAGACGGGTGGCTGTTTGGATGTAGGACATGTCCTGGTAAGTCTGGATTCTGAGGTGGGCAAAATAAGGCAGGATTTTCTGGTTTATGTGTCTGTGGTGGTTGCGGCAGGTGGCTGGGTTGGTCCAGGGTCCCTTTGGGACCACTGGTATTTGTCATGCATGGGCCTCCATGGTGTGTATGGGTCATGATGACCACAGAGTTGGTTGTCACAATTCAAAGATTCTGACCCCACTCTCAGCGCTACCTTTCTTTTTCTCTCGTCTGTGTACACACCATAGCCACGACTGCCCTGCTCATGGACTTCTTCCTCCCTTTTCAGTTTTTAGCTCCCCATCATCCCCATGCCAGTTTTAACCTCAGCGTGAAGCCATCTCCCAGGCCTCCGACTGGTTTTGGATTTTTCGGATGGGTTGGTCCAGGGACGTCTGCCCGGTATTATGGGCCGTGCACATATGGGTAAACGACTGAAGTGTTGTGAATGTGAAAAAGCTGCAAGGAAAACTCCATTGTTCTCACTGTGAATGTAAAGCCTCACACATTCAGTCCTACTGGCAAGTGTTCATCTCCTGTCAAGGGTGCCTAACCTTCAATTGCCAACCTGATCCTCTGGGTCTCAGAATGATGGAGAACTCTCTCGAGGCAGGTGTGTGTATGATGAGTGTAGAGGGTGTGTATATCCCCCAAACCCCCAAAGCCCATTTCCTGTGTGGGTTGTTCAGATAGCCCTTGATTGTGAAGGGACACGGTACCGCTGTCGAGGTCTAACCTCCTGATGAGTCGGTGAAAGTCCGACGAAACAGCTTGTCACAGTATGTTTGTCGACTTCTCAACGACCACTTGCGAGTATAATTTGCTTCGATGAGTTCTTATGTACATACATCTTTATTGCCTTGGGGTTGGGTATAATGAGAGATGAAATGGGAAATGAGTCAAATGACATTGTAACTAATAGTTATTTTACAGATATTGCAGGACAAAGTCGTACTGTAATAACACTTCCATGAGTAACTGTTGTTCTCCTAACCCTTCTTTTTCAAAGGTGAACAAGACCTTATGGTCTCAGCTCTATTCTATCCTAGGGAGAGTCATTCCAGTTCCTTTCGCACCGGCAAGTCGAAAGACTGAATGCAAACCCACTGTGACACGGTTCCCTCTGTTACAGCCGAGCGACCCACTGACAGCGTGGATATTCTCCAGAGGAAAGAACTCACTCTCAAGTT